GGGGGGGGGGGGGGGGGGGGTCTGAATTGAGCGATCAATTATTAGACCCGGACGTCCCAACACTTGCTTCGCAAGACAAACTCAAGGTATCCCCTAAAGGGCTACCTTTCGTGAACTGATGAATGCATCATCGCACATCATGGCAATTTCACACACTTCCTTCGGAATAACAGCCTTCCAAGCCAACATCCCATCCTTCGCTCCACACAGACAGCACCAAGTCGCATAAACATGGACTGCCGCGGGCCCTCGCGCGCGGCGGTCTCGGGTGCTCTTTCAGGGCTTCCCCAGCTCTCCTGCATGTGAGCCACGCTGGGAAAAAAAGATAGCCACACTCTTGGAAAGAATCACTGACTCCTTCAGTTTCCCTCGAAAATACAGGTAAACCTTTTTCTACCTGTTCCTGTTTCGTGGGGGGAACCACTCCGCCAAAAAAAATATCAAGGATATTAAAGGTTCTCCACTGACTGGGTAATCCTGGAAGTGGCACTGGACGTTGGGGGACCATCCGTTGGGGGACCATCTTCAGAAGACCAAACAGGTGGTGAACTTACATTTGTTCACTCCATGTCCATGAAATCTGAGGTTTGGCAGGGAGGAAAGGCTCAACGCGCCGCGCATCCTTCTCAAGACGGGCCTGATGCCTCCGTGTCCGGACACGTTGCCCTCAAAGAGGATGTGAAATGCCTAGAGATGCAACTCTTTGAAGTTGCCATGTCGGAAGCCTTCTAACCCTCATAGATGTGTAATTACACTAAGTAACTAGAATAATATAGTATCATATAGTATCCATGGTTAAATTAGACGTCATTCATTCATAGAACCCAAGTGGCATTCATACCCAAACGGCGCCGCGTATCCGTGGGACCCATCTCTGTCCATCTCCTGCTTCTTGCTGGGCCCCAAGTCCAGCTTCCGCACCGTCACCGCCGGAAGCACGTCCGTCAGCCTCGGAAGGTCCGTCGCTTCCGGTGAACATCAGTGGATGGTCCGAAGTCTTTGCGGTCCGAAGTGTCTGTGGATGTCAAAGGATATACAACGGCACTGCATCAACTTCTTGGGGTGGGTGGAGCACTGTTTTGCACCCATAAATGTGAATATCAATGAATATCACAACATTCTAGCAGTGGATTGGGGCGGACAAGGTGCAATCGTCTTTGATGTCCATCAACTCCTTTAGATTCCAAGGAAGATCATGCGTGTTTTTCTCATAACCAGTCTCCAACCCAACACACGCACACACATAAGCCAAGGATTCGTGATCATGTTTGGATGTAGCGTACCCCGTCGACCGTTCCGTGGATGGTCCTACCCCATCAAACGGCTCCGTTGATCTCCTCCCACCCCCAAGCGACTGAGCATGCCGACCCCCTCGGCGACCGAGGCCAGCAGTAGCACGGTGAGGGGTCGAGGGCTTGTTCTCCGACATATTAATATACAACAAACAAAGGACTCCAAAAGTGGGCAAAGGCAGCTGAGACCATTGAGATTGATGACCCTTCGAACATCCACCAACAAGTGTGAGTTACACGAACTGGCAGTTGAAAAGCATGCATCTGAACTGGCATGGGTTCCCTCCTGCAATCTAGAAACACTTCCGTGTCCTCGACTGGGAAGTCTTCATCTGGCAAGGCGTGTCAAATTCGGGCGCGTGGCAGCATCTCAGGATAGGGTCGTTCAGTGGTTCAGGGCTGGCCCGATGAATCCCTGAGGAAGAACATCAACATACAGTGGTTTCAGAGCAGATGGCACAAACCCCAAGAGGTCTTTTAAACGGGAGTTCATATGAACCATCTTTTTGGGATTGTGCCATCTACTTTTGAAACCACTAATTATACATCAACTAACCTTTTTAGTCCACTTCTTGCACCGCCTTGGGCATGCCAAAATTTGCATCAAATGTTCTTTGGCATTAGGTGGCGTTTGCAATCTCCAACGGAAACAAAAGTGAGAAACGTGACGACCTGAATTCCATGTGGTGGTCGCGCATTCAGGCACTTTGGCTTTGGCATCGACTGTCACTATATACACTGCTTTGAAAGCCAAAATGAGTTCAATACTGCATAAATAAACCTCTTGCGCAACTGAGAAAATTGTTTCCGTCATGGGAGGAGTCATTGTGAGTCTATGTTTGCTGCATTCGCCCTAAAAGAGCAAATGCTGGTTGATGAAAAGAGCGCCAAAACCTGCAAGGGAAGTTGAACGTGCATTCTGACAATTTCAAACACAGCATGATGATCAAACGATATCAATCATGTATATCCTCCAACTTCGTTGGACAGATCGTCTGAAACCCTGTGGAGAGAAGATGAGAGAAGTGACGAGGGGCTTGTGGAGGTTGCAAATCATCGCAGAACTGACGTCATGGGAATGTCACATTGGGAAAGGAACTGGACATTCTTCTCTAAAATCAACTGCTTTTCGCCAAACCAACACATTCTTGCCACGCTCATTGGACCCAGCGTCCGCGGCGCCGTTGAGAGTTGAGCTCTCTCCCAAAGTCTTCTCAAACGAGTCTCAAACAAGTTATGTAGACTCGTGATCAAATAAAACAACAAACATCAACACACATTGATTGTAACACCTCTTGAGGTTCGGTGGGGGTTGGAAATATGATCCAGAATCTACAACTCATCTCTGGTTACTTCCCTCCCGGGAGCTTCCCGTGGCCGGTCGCCTATCTTGGGGACACTTAAGGGATGCTCCTTCTCCTCCTGCGCGGCGGTGAAGGAAAATCCCTAAAGGGACCAAAAGAAGCTGTCTCCAAAGCTTCCAAAAAGGAGTCAGACGCTTCCTGTCTGGGTGTCCAATGGTGACCTATAAGCAGTGTGGGGTTGCCCATTGGTAACCCCTTGGAAGCAGCTGGAAGAGTCAAACTTGTCAAGCTTGTCCACGATTTGATCAACAAAAGCAGAATATCCTATAGGCTCATGTGCTTGTTGGATCGTCACAGGAACCTCCGCCTCGAAACTGTCAAGCTTGTTGACCCAACAAAGGGAATGGAAAGCTTTAAAAAAGACATCACCATCGCACGAAGTGCAAGGACCTTCTTCTGTTCAGGCGGAGGGTCAAGGGCAAAAGTTGGGACACACAACCCAAGAGACCAGCCAAGCAATGCAGCAAGCCGAGGTATTCGACACTAAGACTGAGAGGTCAACCTGCATGGCCAACCACCAAGTGACATGCCCAAATTCAATTTCCACACTGTGCACTCTCAGGGCCACACACATGGTCAATGGTTCATCCCACTTTTGGCACTTTTGGATTTCTCGCGGTTCCCATGACTTTTGTATGATTCGAATAGACTAGAATCGACTCAACAGTCCCTGCAGTTTCTCTTCCTAACATATCCCAACCCCACAGTACCAGTGCTAATGTGATATGAACTCTATGAACCCACTCCCAGGGAGTCCCAGGATGTCCCAGGCCTATACTCCTCACCCCAACCCCTACCCCCAACCCCCCCCATGATCGCATGCCGGCCGCTGTCCCGCTGTCCCGCGTCACCCAAACCCCCGGAACCGGCGAACTGGCCGGGAGGGCGGTCCGAAGGTCTCTTGTTGCTCTTCACCGGGTTCCAAGGATTGACCTCCTCTTGCCTCCCCCGTTCGCTGGGCCCGAGCCACAGAATGAGCCCGGCATGGGACCGGAAGGAGGGAGGGAGCCGGTGGAGCACGCCGGTTCTGAAGGTGTTGGGTGCGTGCGTTAGACGCGTGCGACTTGCTTGCAGTGGGATTGCTTGGTGTTTTTCTTCGTATGACCTGTCTTCTTTACGTGGCACGCCGATGCCAGGGCCAACCGACGACCCGCAACCGAAAATGGCAGCCAATGCCCCGAAGACTAGAACCATCAGCATATATGTACGCTCTTGGGAAACGATGGGCCCAACACAACCAAACCCTTTTGCGAGTCCCTTCAGGATTCTGGGCATGATGATCTAATTGAATAATTGGTCATCAAGGGTTGGTCTGACTTCGACCCTCTGGCGATCCTAAATGGTTTGATCATGTTTGATCCTAAAAGTGGTAGCAAGGACATGGGGCAAACAAATCAGTGTCCATCGGACTCACCATCTGAAAGTAAGTTGTTTCTAAGTTTCTATTGTCAGTAGATTGCATTCTGCTTGCTCTTGCCTTGCCACCAATGGTTGACTGTGCCACGAGTGTGGGTCCAATCATTCACTGAATTCCTGGTCCACCATTCATTGGCAAGGCTTTCTACGGAAGAACCCTTTGTTGTGCTGAGGATTTCAGACGACAAAGCCAGGCCAAGCCTTGTCTAAATGGTCGAACAAAAAGGCCATAGATGGCTATAGCCATTTTATATATAGTAATGCTATATATAAATATATGCTACTTTGGGATGGTTTGGGATGGTTTGGGTATGTTTGTGTGATTTTGTGTGATTGTGTGTCTGTGTGTCTGTGTATGTCTCACTTTGGCCAACAAATCAGGGATGTAACATGATGCCCCGCTTCCCCTACATATGGACCTCCAAAGCCCTGCACCGCATCCGTTCAGGCTGGACATCAAGCCCATGGATGTGCCGGAGCTCCAAAAACGGAGAAGGCCATGGATTCGATTGTGTCATCCCGAGCATTGCATATGCGTGGATGCTTGAGCAAAGTGATTTGAAACAACGGGGGCTCATATGTACTTCCAATCCAGCAAAGGGCTGATCCTAACTTAAGTGGGAGTCATAAAAACAAACCAATGACAAGCTGACCTACCCAACCCACGAAGCAGAACCACCCTGGAATAAACCGAACAATTCCATCCATTTCCCACATCCAGAAAAAACGTGCCAATCCTACTCAGCCACACACACGATCCACGAGACTTCGTGCCCCACGCGCCACACCGGGCGGACACTCCGCCTCTTGGGAGGCGTGAGCATCTTCGAGAGCCGCGGCGCATTGGGCGACTCCTGCCCAAACCAGCGGGCGGACGGGTGGGTGGGTGGGGCTCCGGGAAAGGCGGATGGATCGCGCTGGGAAAGCCTGTGGGGAGGTGGATGGAGTGCAGATTGCCTGCTGCGGATTTCACTCCAGAAGGACGAGGCTGGAAAGATTGTTAGGGGCTGGAAAACTCTTTCTTAGCACCCTGAGCTACCAATAGGGGAAGGACCCTCATCGCCAGATCCAACTCAAGGGCCCTCATCACTAAGCCATCCCACTGACCACGCGAACCGACCGCCGTGCTCGCGCGTCACGCCCAAACGAGACCCATTAAAAAGCCAGCGGCATATGAAGGGAGCAGGTCCAGCTCTGCTGGGAAGCAATCAACAAATACCGTGGGCCCCCTAATTGAATAGCTCCTTAGAGTTTAAGGGCCCTGGTATGAGCAGCTCCACTGATTGGACACCATCTTTACGACCTTGTCACCCCGCACCGCACCGCGCGTTTCCCTGGTCGGCCCGTCGGCCCTGCGAAGTACTCCGCGCCTTCACCAGGCGCTCCAAGCTGCGCGTCTGTTGGTCCAGCAACTGCTGCAGGTCATTGCGCAAGGTCTCCCGCAGCTGCTGGAGATCCTGACCGAGCGGCGGAGACGTGCACGGTGGTGTAACACTGAAGGGAACATGAATGGAATTGAGAGATGGCGGAAGGAACATGCTGCTGAGTGGTTTTTTGAGGTGTTGGGTGACGGGAGGTGACTATCAACTGAGACTGTGTTCGATATTGCCCCAAGTACCACAAAGTTGTTCTGGGATGGGATGCAAACAACGTATACCTCGAAGATTTCAAGAGGTATATGCACTGAGTGTTGCTGGCTTGTAGATCATCATTGCAATGACAACCATTGTTCGACGAACATGATCAATTGCAGTCACAGATCTGGTCGAGTCATGTTGCCACTACGTGATCAGTCTGTCCTTCTGAGACAGGAGTGGATCCGCCATGGCAAGCGTCTTCAACGAAGCCGCTAACGATTTGCCGCACCGGTGGACAGCGCACGGGTGGGGTCAAAGCAAGCAAAGCGGGGACCGTGGCTTTGTTGTGCTTGCATCTCTGTGGACTTGGCTGCCAGTTTTGATAACATAATGTTTTGATGCCTCTGTTGACTTCGCATGTGTGGCAGGTCAAGGAAAACTCCCTGGCATAGTGATCCCTTATTTGAGCAACATGGCTGTTTCAAGCCAAGCAAGCTAGGCCAATCGACATGAAATCCACAGAGTAGCTCTCTCTTTTTCAGCTGTGAGTCAAGTTGACCCAAACATACCCAAACCCAGCACACATCGTCCGACAAACAAGCAAAAACATTAGGAGCTCTTTTTGACTCTTTAGTGACCTCGCTCTCGCGGCTTTAATTCTGCAAGGGTCAGCTGCTCTTCCATCGTGTGTTGTGCAGCATCCCTGGCTTTGTCGGCATGGCTCCTCTTGCTCCTCTTTCAGCCTCTCCTGCTCTTCAGTGGCACGTCTTTCTCTTTCTCAAAGCGTTTGTATTTAGCTTCTGCACTGGCTAATTCTGTGCTCTCTTCTCCTCCTCCTCTACTGCCTTGAGGCGCCACTCTTCCATCTGTTCTGCAACCTCCCTTCTTTGTCTTCCTCTAGAGCTGACGCAGCCTCTGCTCTTCTTTTCGCCAATCCTCTTCCTCTCTTGTTCTTCAGCGACCCGTCTGTCCTCTTCCTCTGCTCGATCCACGCGTCTTTCGTTCGGACGGTGGTCCGGGTCCGCTTTCAGCCCGAGGAGAAGGACGACCCTCCCTCCAACAGACATGGAAGTAGTTCATTTGAAGATGGTGCCGAGAGGAAGACTGTTTTCCATTGTTTTCCTCTCTAACTGGGAGGGGTTTTCCACTTCCATGATTGCTTCAGGGAGGGCATTCCAGTGGACCATCGAGACTGCGGTCCAGAGTCTGACGTGTATGGTTCAAGCCGAGAATGCTCCTGAACTATTCCGATCACACGATGCGCATGGATAGGACGAACAGGACGGAACCAGGCTCCACCTCATGCAGGTGCTTCTCGTAGCTTCTCTCAATGGCACAGCAGCACGCACGCACCCCCTCGGCTTCGGGACTCTGTATCCGTCCTTTGCGGTTGTTCTGCGGGTCTCCATCCAAGGAGGTGTGTAGATACAGCTTGTGTGATATCTGTACATATCTGTACTACATTGTACTACCAAGGCTCTTGAATCAGCTTGGACCTCCCTCATCCTTCGATCTGTCCATCTTCTCCAACTCGGCACCGCCACTGCGACGTTGCCCTGCAACATCGATGGGAGTCGAGTGTCGCGAGGCGCGAGGAGCGAGGCGGTGTGGGAGTCGCGAGCAAGGGAAGTACCCTAGACCTCCGGTCGTACCGAACCTGAGGAGGTGGGACTGGGGTGGGTGCCATTGTCGGGTCCAGTCATACCGAACCTGAGGAGGTGCGACGAAGTCGGTGTAGGGGTCATCGACCCATAGAACCGCCCATGGCACCTAACAAACATGACATCGCCATCGCATGACACAATCGCAACAAGACATCAAATATGGCTCAGCTTCACATTGGATCCGCTTTCAAAGGACAGCTGATGTTTCTTGCTACAGAACACTGGTGGACAAGCTCAACGAGTTTCCAACAAGTGAGCGGTAGTTAGATCCGTGGTAGATCATGCTTTGGATGACAACCCCTCTGTTGCCGATCGATGTATTTCGACAGATGTTTCCAAACTGTCCAATGTCTTAAATTACTAAACTCATGATTCCCATGTCGATGGTTACAGCTACCTGACAGTCGCCTCCACCAACATACACAAATGCTCGCACAAAAAGTGATGTCACCTGGCAGTAGTTCTACACCCCGTACTTGCACCCCAACCACACCTCCGGGCCTTCTTCAGCGACCTGCGCACTGCCCGCTGCGCACTCTGGCTCACCTGCGGCGAAACGGGCGTCAAGCCCGGCGACGGCGACGAAGCGGTCCTGAAATCGACCGAAGCAAATGTCCCTTCCGAACGAGTCTCCTGGTCTTTCGATTGGGAAATGTGTGAAAACGAGATTGTAAAAACACGTCATGACTCTTTCATGATGTCAACATCAAACAATTTATGGACAAACATCGTGCGACAAAACATATTAGCAAAGTGCTTTCGGGGAGGCCCAGTACAACAGAGTCACCCGACTTGGGGGTAAGCCAATCCCATGATGGATGCTCCAGGCACAGGATAGGCACGTAGAAATGACGTGTGCCCCACTCATGCAACTGATTCCACCTTTTTGCAATATACCCAAACACGACCTGTCTGGGACTGCCATAGGACTGCCGAGAAACGGCCAGGGATGGTGCCGGGGGGCCAATGGGGCGGCAAATGCTCTATATACACGGAGTGTCTGGGATATAATTAGTCGGTGTGGATTGGAATCAAGTGGATTGGATTTTCGTCATCCATCCAGTCCATGCTCACCAACTAACCGGCTCCCCCCCCAACAAACATCCTGACCCGCGGGGGTCCGAACGGCTAGTCATCCGGATTCTATCCAGGCCAACGAAGTCACAACGCTTTGATCTTCCCGAAGAGCTCCAGCCCCCGCGCGATGGAGTTCCGCCGGCGTGCGGCCAAGCCCAGCAAGAGCACTGACAGAAGCACCTCGCGAGCGCCGGCGTGCGGAGTCTCGGTGAACAAGTGGAATGAACACCCTCCCGCAATTCATCATACCAGGACCCCCAGGAGTTGGGTGGTAGACATGGACACCCCTTGCCTCACAGAAAGTTGGGGCTATAAATAGACACCCCGACAGGAGGGTCCTGGTATGTCTCCCTTATGATAGATAGTCATAAAGAACATCCGTGTTCTGGGCAACCTGCTAGTTTGGGGGTGGGTCTTCTAAGCCTGCTTCACTCATCTTGCCTCTACAAATATGGAGGATTTTACGGACTTTATGATGTTGGTTGGATGGTAGGCTGTCAGAACTTGCGTAGCGCAACTCTCAAAGAGTTCTGGGCACCCCCACCCCAGTGGGACTGGAGCCAACGACAACAAGCATGTAACCGAGATGGGGTTAAATGGCTATTGTGAAACATCTCCCCCCCCATACCAGCTAGGAAAGCCTTTTTCGGAGCTTGTTGAAAGCCTGCCTTAGCCTGAAAACCGGCTTTGAACTGGCACAGGGGTGAGGGCAGGCCCTGTGCCAAGGTTTCACGATCAACATGATATGAACTTGTTCTACAGTTCACCAAATCGGATTTGTTGTGATGTTTCTCCTGTCACCCTTGATGCAATCCAAACTGGTCATTGATCCCATGAAACTTGTTGATGTTGAGCCAAGGCAGCAGGAAGAAATACGACCATGTAACTAAGGTGCAACGGTCACCGATCGAAATGGCTTCTTCTCGGGGAAGGCTTGCAGGTTCAGTCCAACAAGCGTCCAAAGGTCCATAGGACTGGTGACTAGTGTAGAATCGTTTGAGTTCTTTGTTATTGATCACCTCCCCCATACCCTCCAATTTGGATTGTACCCCTTGAGGTCTGGATAGGGGGGTATGGGGGATATCTATCGACATTAGTCCTATCTGGGTATGGGGGGTATGGGGTATAGGTGCCCATCTAATCAAGATTCTACATTAGATGCCTATCGAGTCTGGCAGGTGGCAAGGGGTAGTCAGAACGCAACCGCCAACCGAACGCCACGCAACCCCCACGCCCCCCGTGTCCACGCGGCCTTGGCCAGTGTGAGGATCAGTGCCAGCAAGAGGTACAGCAGGACACCTGGGCCCTGGCGATGCAGGACACCATTGGTTGCGGAAACTCGAAAGATCCCTGAAACCCTTCACAAACCCTATGGATCCAAGTACCTTCTCAGAAGGTACTTGGACAAACCTACATAGCGGTGTCCCCAATCACCTGCTGAGAAGGTACTTGGATCCCTAGGGAAAGGAGATGCTGGGTTTCGCCCAGCGCCCGGTTTCACCGCACGGCTTCGCGCCGCAGATCTAGGGAGGTTATGGATGTGCCTATGAAGTCCTTCAGTGGGCTCGATGTCACGAAATATGGAAATGGATGGCATGGCATGGGATTTCTGGGAGAATTGGTTTCCAATATAAGCTAATATATGGTTGTCCACTTTCACGTTGGCCAGCTCAGTCTTGTGAAATCCTCCTCAAGTTGCTGGCGTGAATGGCGTCGGAAGTCTCTAACAGTGTGAGCAGGCCCGGTGAGGATATGACACTCAGGATCTGACTCCCTCAGATGTCCTTTTTCCGCCTATGTATGTTTTGTGGGGAAACTAATTCTTAAAAGCATGCTCTTAAGATCTTTTAAAGGGAGGGGATGTAAAGCTCACCGTGTACATGTCACAAAGCCATACAAAGCCTAGGCGAAATCACACTGTTGGTGACTGCCAGTCAACCTGAGCAGCCACCACCCCAACATCGCAACACTCATGATCATCTATGATCATCTACATCACCCCATGATTTGGAGATTGGGAACCACTAAAAACCATCTAAAAACACCGCCCCTCTTTCAGACCACCCTAAGTCCCTAAGCCAAACCAATCCCAAAGGCTCCCCGCTTCGCCGGCCTGGCAGGCGAGGTTCGCGTGCAACAGGTGCGACAGCACCAGCGTGGAGAGCGGCAAGCCGCTGAAGCCGATTCGCCGCGCCACCACGTGGCTGAAAGATTGGACGCCTCCGTGGCAAAGGGACTGGTGCTGGAAATGTCTAAGTGCAAACATTTGGACCCTCCTTGGATGATATACATGATAGGATTGAAATTCCAGGGCTCATCTTGTGGGTCCCAGATGGTTCGGATGCTCTCTTCCACCTATCCTGGGCAGTTCTCACAGTGGCGTTTGACGCAAAATGCATCATGGACGCCACTATCAGCGAGAATATATATACAGACTATACAAAAGAATCCAAAAAAAATTGTTTCGGTACCAATCAGAACTGGAATCATTGCACATAGGAGAGAAAGAATTACTCTTCTCCAAATCCATGTGCCATAAACAGAACTCTGTGCATGTCTAGCCATAGCAAGTGCGTTGGAAAAAGGTTGAACATCCTTAAGGATCCATCGAGAACAGCCCTACCAGGGTCCCCCCTGCTTGGGGTGGTGAATGGACATCCCGAATCACCTCTAAGGAGGTGATTATTAGACATCCCTGGCCGCCCTGGTAGAGTTTCCCCTAGTCTTGTAGGGGGGATTATTCGGACACCGCCTTAGAACCCCTTCGCCCCCACGAACCGCGAACCACACACTTCCGCCTCGGAAGGGCATACAGGGCAGGCTGGGCGGTCTGGCGTCTCGTGCGGTGTGAGGCATGCGACACACCAAGAGGTCGGCGATGAGCACCTCGACCGCTCCGCCGTTTGGGGGGTCGAGACGTGGGCGACGTGTGACGTGTGGCGTGGTTTTCTCCATGGTTTTCTCCATGGAATGAGGGAAGAAACTCATCTCAAAACTTCCCCCCCCCCCCAACCCAGGACCTTCGGACCTTTGAAGTGGCCTTGCTTCAGGATTTGTAGGTGTACCTTTTCAAGACTGAAGCGACCTCATTCTGGGATCTCAGAAGGTCACTGAGAAGGTCCTGGAACTTGGCACTTGAAGAATCCTCAGGGAACCTGTGACTTGGAACATGGAAATCCTTCAACACCATAAGTGATCCAAACGTGAAATCATCTGGATCTAGGTCCAAGGGATTTCTCTTTTGTTGTGGGTCACGTCTCCGAGCTGGCCTGTCTACGTCGCGACTGCCGGAGAGACCCAGGCCCTCAGGGCAGGGTCTAAGTCTGCAACTTGATTTTCTTAAGGAAACGAAAAGAAATGCAAACACCAATGAACACATAATCCCAAGATTCCCCAGGATGGGGGGTCTGGACCTCAGGATCCCACAGGGAAAAATCAGAATCGCCTTGAGCAAACCAGGACCATCGTTGATTCACCGTGCCTGCTGGTAATTCTCGAGCACCGACACTGGCAACTCGCTGAACTTCATGATCCTCGGCTCAAGGCTCCAGGCGTCGGCGTAGCGTCGGGGCGCGGTGAAGTGGCGGAAGTGTTGATCAAACCTTCTCATAGGGGGGATTCAGCCCCACAGAGCTCAACCCCACATACACCTTCGCATATATAGCTCCTGGCGGAAGTGTGGGTTTCAAGGAGCCATGAGAAGGAGACCAGACCTGTGTGGTCACCAGACCTGTGCGGTCCGACGCCGTGCGGATCTGCAGCGCAGGGTGGTGGCTTCAGGCGCTTCAGGAGACCAGACCCGATAAGAGTGGTAGGGGAACCTGCACTGGAGGCGTCCAAATGGGCAGGTAGCGAGCTGAAACGTAAGGCACAGTGTACACGCACGATGTTCATGAGTTCAACGGCTATGTAATGAAGAAACCGCCAGAAAGCCCACAACGGATCCTGTGAGAAAGAAACATGCCACCGTTGGGCAACGCCCATCGAGAAAAAGGAGGCACTGGCCATGAGTGGCCATGAGTGGCCGGTCGGCCCCCCCCCTTTTGAGCGGAGAGAAACATCTTTGGGCTGAAATTCATCTGCCCTCCTCAGCTTTCCTCGGGTTGTGTTGCAGGGCTACTCCGAGTTTGGGATCTTGATGCTTAATCAGAATCATAACAATACTGACATTGGCTTGTCATACCTTATCAATTGGAACATGTATGTTCACCATCCCATCCATCCTAAACCATCCCACCCCGGATTTTTGCCCAGGCACAAGCAGAACTTCACCCAGTCTGTACCCAGCTCAATACCCACCTCAAATGAACAGCAACACACGCGCACCATGTGCGAGACACATGAAAGTCCTCTCTCTCTCTCTCTCCCCACGCACGAGGATGCTGAATAATTACTTCGGACTGCATCCTCATGCCACCACGCCATGTTCTTCAAACCATCCTCAACCACCTTCCACCTTTCCGGTCCTATCACTCATCCCACCCTTCCGAGTCATTTCGACTCTCCAGGAGCCTTTCCCCCTTCCAACCGACTCCACCCCCCCCCCCCGGGGGCCCGACCGACCCGACCGACCCGACCGACCCCTACCGCCGACCTAGGCGCCAGCAGCAGGAGCCAACTGGTGATCTGCACCGCAGACGCCAAGCCTCTTCGGTCCGAGGTGGCCAGGCGCAGCAAGACGAAGAGGATGTCCTGCGATGCGACGTAACGACGCGAAGGGAGAGGATGAGGAAAAAGCAGCGAGGGAGCGATTCGCGAAGCGAGTCTCGGCTGAAGGCTGAAGCGAGTCGTAGGGATCTGCGCCGCGATCTCTTCTATCACATATATTCACATATGATAGTAGTGTTCAATCATCATGGGCCAACGTGGATGGCATGGCCCTGAATGGATGACCATGCAATCCGACTACCAATCAGTGAGGTGAATTCTACCTCCATTATCTTCCATACCCTTTTTCAGGGAGCGTGCCTGCGGGGATGCTTGTACACCACAAAAGGCTGCAGTCGGACTTGGGGGATGCTGAGGGATGCTGCATGGGTGACCAATGGTTCTTCTTTGACGATTATTGAACACCTTGTGTCACGTCCACCCCCTGACAGTGCACTTGGGGAAGCAACCCTGACAATGCTTTTTGCTGCGAAGCACCAGCGCCAAGTAGAATCGTTCCACCATGTCAGAGGTGATGATCGGAAACAGCGACTTGACCTGATGCCGTCGATACCGTCAGGAAGAGCTGTTTTGCCTCATCGTCAGCGGGTACAGTAATTGATTCATACCGATTCATACCAATTGAGGATTGTAAAGCTTCTTCATCTTGATGATGTTTTTTTGTAATCAAAAAGGTACATTCTGAACTAGAAGTAAGCATTCAAGGTGGTTCATCTCTTGCAAACGTCTGGCTCAAGGACGATCTCAAAAAGAGTTCTGCTCAACCTTTCTCCATCCGAAGCAGTGAGCCTGAAAGGCTTGGTTTTATACTTCATCCAAACACGTCACCAATCATAAATTACAATTCAAAATGTTGCAAAGGGTTAATTTCCTTTGACCTAATAGCCATCCTAAGCCAACACTCATCTAAGGCTTTTTTCGCACAGGCTTGGATCTGTTTGTGTTCAACATCTTCAGCTCTTGTAAGAAATCTGGTGGTCAGAGTAGGAGGACTGCAAATATGCTCCCCGTCCCCGGAGAAAAGAACACAAAACACAAAACAATTCCCTAGAAATCCATCACAATCATAAGCGGTCCCCCTACCGAAAAAGGAAACAGCTCCCTAGAAATCCATAAGCATCATCACCGGTCAACACCCTCCAGAAAGGATTCATCATCTTCCCAACACACCCTCCGTCGCTCAGTCTTAGCGCCTCGTAGCGCTTGAAGACCGTCGACTTGATCTCGGCGAAGTTGTTCGTGACGATGATGAGGAAGACCGCGCTCCTCAAGAAAAAACAGATCAGATTGGATCCTCCTCTGATCATTTTTGGATCAACAAAACAAACTTGGATCCACCAATTTGAGGATGAGTATGTCGGATTTGGATGGATTTGGTGGATCCAACTTGATCCAATCATTCATTATATTATACGATTGTACTCTATCACCTCAAGAGCTTTTGAGATGTTTCGGAGGGTTGTTTCGACATAGGGGTGATCGAATCTGATACAATGTAAAGCACTACATATCACTATAAGTAGACATCGCATCAGTTCAATTTGAAGCACATGCGAGTGCATGGAATTTAATAATCGTCCAAACCTGGCTTTCCAACAATTTCTCGGTTTGCCATAATACTCAATGAGCAAGCTGACACCAGCACCTGCTAATTTGACACGCAAAAATGTTCCCACCAAAAACGGCAAAATTGATAGGTATATAGGCGATAAGCCCTCCCTCAAGTATTGGGTAGGGGAGGTGTCAACAAAATCAAGATCCAGCATTGCAAAAAGATCACAGTTTATACCTGCAAGTCCTCAAGTGAAGCTGTCAATCAAAACGAGGTAGTTGTAAGGGTTTAGCTCCAGCAAATGGGTCTTTTTCAACCTCTTGTGCAAATCAAGCTCGTGCCTCCTGCACTCAAATCTCTTGTGGTGCGTCAATGGCTTCACTTGGCCTGAGCACTCGTCCCGAAACGGTGCCAGGAACCTGCCGCTGGCCCACGCACTGAGCTGTTGGGAATCAGACAATCAATGAAATCTGAACCCAGCGCGTGGTCAATAACCACACAAACCTTGTCCATGCTTCTATGACACAAGGAAACTACGCAAACACCACACGAACATACACAAACCAAATGCTTCTGCAACGTCCGGCATAGATGTGGCCCCCACACGTGGTGCAAGGGATCTACCACGCCGTGGCCCAACATCTAAGTGTTTCATGTCAAATCAGGACAGGCGCGGTCTGCCGGCAAATTTTAGCTCCAGCACTTCAGGCGCTACATCCTTCAATTCTGACACTGCCCAACTGCATTGGGAAAAGTCTAGTGTATTCATCTGTTTGGTTTTGCCTTGGACTTCGGCAATCAGTGCTGGCACGACCTTCAGCACCTGTGGAGCAACATCCTTCAACTG